ATATTCTTAGAAAAGCTGCACCAAATCCCCCCCTGCAAGTCAGCAGGAGCACAAAGCATGGGCAAACTCCAGCTCAAACTACCTCTCTGCTGCTTTTCAGACCTGCTAGCCTCACTCCCTCCTTGTGAACAACCTTCCCACCCAACGAGAGCTCTTGGTGCTCCCCAGAAGGCTGCAACGTGCGTGCCAATCCCCCCACCTCCATTTCAGGCTCGGTGAGATCCAGGAGCCTTAGGAAGGATCAATAAGCATTAAAATCCCTTTCTTCTACCCTCCCTGCTTCCTCCCAAGAAGGAACACCCAGAATCGTAAAACCTGGTAGTTTCTGCAATCCATTACCCTCGTGGGTGGCTCGAGCCATTTAATAGCATTAGAAAACTGTTAGACTTTGTCCTTTGAGGGACCTCCTGGGTGACTGAAGCTTTACCTCCCCTCCCCATGCTGCCGCCGACAGGGGCCAGGACCAGGAGCCCCCAGGAGCTGACATGAGCTTACCCAGGCCCGGCTTTGTCTCATTCAACACCGGCAAAAACAACTTGTCATTTGCCTGTATTGCAGCACAAATGACATTTCTTCGGTCCTTTCATTTCCACCAGGCCAAGGACTTTGATGCTGTTTCGTGCTATCCATTATGCAGCGCTCAAAGCACCAAGGCTCACATTCGCTTTTGCTCAAGACTAATTAAGATGAATGTTAACTGTCCCCACCGCTCATTACCCAAGAGAAAATCTATTAGCGGCCCCGATGGAAGCGCTCTTTGGAGTCACCACCTCCCATTGCCAAAAGATGCTGAATTCCTTCCTTTCCAACCCAGATGGTAGCGTTAACTGAAACTGAAGAAACGTAGAATGGTCTGGGTTGGAAGGAACTTTTCAAGGTCATTTAGTTCCACCCCCCTCCTGGCAGGGACAGGGACCCCTTCCACTAGACCAGGTTGCTCAGAGCCTCATCCAGCCTGGTCTTGGACACTTCCAGGGATGGGGCATCCACAGCTTCTCTGGGCAACCTGTTCCACTGCCTCCCTACCCTCATCGTAAAAAATTTCTTCCTTATGTCCAACCTAAATCTACCCTCTTTAAAGCCATTACCACATGTCTATCACTACAGACCTTACAAAAAAGTCTGTCCCCATCTTTCTTATAAGCCCCTTTAAGTACAGAAATGCCACAATAAGGTCTTCCCGGAGCTTTCTCTTCTCCAGGCTGAACATCCCCAACTCTCAGCCTGTCCCCATAGCAGAGGGACTCCAGCCCTTGGAGTATCTTTGTGGCCCTCCTCATCCTTCTACTCAGGGCTGCTCTCCATCCACTCTCCAC